TTAAGAGGAGGGTCCACAGGAAATGAAGCAGACAGTTCACTGGAGACATGTGCTTTGGTCTACAAGGAAAAAAGAGGCCTGCAGGTTTCCTTCTAGGTTGCCTAGCCCATTTGCCAGGGTAGAAAAAGTAACTGATATAAGGCCAATCCCCCACTGCGGAATAAAGGTTATGCACACTTGGCTGGAAAGACCATTTGAATATACAGATAATGAGTATCACAGATTAAACACAGGAAGAACTCCAACAATATTGACGCAGACAGCAGGATAGAGGCTTCTACCATGGGGTATTGAATTCAGCCAGGAAGGGTGTGTGTGATGGGCATTAGTGCTGGAGATAGAGAAATACACAAATACTATGGATTTCACGGAGACAAAGATTAGACACAATATTTGCAGCTGCACACCTATCTATAAATCTGATGAGTTCAAATGTATAAAACAATGTTCTCACTAAATTATGAAAATGGGTAATTTTTATTCTCTTCTCCCTTTTCCCACATTTTCTGAACTTTCTTTGATGAGCACTTTTATGATTTTGGTAATATGGCAATAGTCTTCTTAACTGTCCCAACTGGGAAAAGGAGTTGGATGATTAACAGAAATGTTGGGTAAAGTGGGAAACCATAAAATTTGATTACTATCATAAACATTAACTTAAAATGCACATTTGAACATACAATTTCTTTCTCTGTCAATATATTCACATAAGGCCTTTCCTTTGAATGTGGATCAGTTTGGGGTTCCAGTTCGTCTTTCTTGGATGAAGAATATCACTTACATCTATGAATTCTAATTCCTATTTCTTTAAAGTATAATAAACTTAAAGATACTTGTGAGGCAACCTGGGTATGAATTCCAGGTAAGATTTTTACTCTGTGTTGCCATGTAATCTAATCGTTTTCTTACTCACGGTAATTTCATAACATTTTTAAGAGTCCTTCCAAAGCATTCAACTTGGTTTTAACAGAAATAAGTCTCTTTTATGTATATATATTTCTTCAGTTTACGTAACATTTAAATAAATTATATAGTCACAACAGTGAGTATAACTTACACCAATGGCTTGGGTACAAATAAGTTACCCTTAGTAAGCATGAACCTCACCAGGTGGAAGCAGAAGTACAAAAGCATTCCAGAAAATGCATATAAGCCAAGAGTATTTCGTGTGCTGTGGGTATGGTATCCATCATTTATGAAGGGAATGAAGGATGTCAGAAAGTTGATTGTGTGACTGCTGCTTTAGAGGGTTATACACTTTCAGAATCTGAAACCAACTCCAGTGTTTTTTCCTTAAGGGAAGACGCTGTTGAGAGATGAAAAAACATGGTTTGAGAGAGGTGTGGGGAATGGGGAGCGTGCCAGCCCTTCCTGCTTACCCCATGAGTGTGGGGGTGGGATTTGTATGTGTGTACATGCCCATGCGTGTGTGTGTGTGTGTTGGGGGAAGGGGGATTTTGAGTCACAGAAGGGCACAAGAAGTGACTGTTATTGTATAGGGCTTCACTAGGAACTCCAAGCTTTAATTATGCCAGTGAGCGGCAGAAATGATTAAAGAAGAAGAAGCAGTCAACTCTGTTCACAGTACAATAATGGGTATAATACAGTTAATAAGGGCAGGAGAAAGACTGAAGATAAAGCTGTGGGTACAGGAAGAAGGAAGAAAAAGGAGGGGACTGTGGCTCAGGGTCAAAATTGTGACTAAAAGGGACAAAGCAAACAGGAGGCTATGAGGTAGACGTTGGCATAAACTTCCAGTGTTTTCTTTCAAATACGTATTGAACTATTCTTCATATAATCTTCAGCTACTTTTTGGTACAAAACTTCTGACCCTAAGAGGAGTGATGCAAAAGCATATAAGAATAATTCCAGACCTTTAGAAACTGACACCCTAGTTAGAGAGAGACAAATAGGCCAGGCACAGTGGCTCATGCCTGTAATCCCAGCACTTTGGGAGGCTGAGGTGGGAGGATCACCTGAGGTCAGGAGTTCAAGACCATGGTGAAACCTCATCTCTACAAAAATACAAAAATTAGCTGGGCATGATGGCGGGTGCCTGTAATTCCAGCTACTTGGGAGGCTAAGGCAGGAGAATTGCTTGAACTCAGGAGGCAGAGGTTGCAGTGAGCCAAGATCACGCCATTGCACTCCAGCCTGGGCAACACAGCGAGATTCCATCTCAAAAAAAAAAAAAAAGTACAAATAATGACAAGGCCAGGTAATATGTACTAAATATGAGAGAAGAGAAACACAGAGAGTAAGTGCCATAAAACGATAGATTCTTTCCATGTTAAAAGTCAAGTCACAGTCGATTCCTCCTCACATTCTCTTATGATACCTCTGACTCACTTTAGCACCACTTAATCTCTCTGTTCTATAGAAGTGATAACAGTTTCATAAAACTCCCTATTACTTATCTGGTTGTATTTGTTCTTGGCTCCCTAAAAATTAGTGAAAGACTTTATTTGTGGAGAGACAATAAGATGATGAAAACAAGTGTTTTTAAAACTTCATTGATATGGTTTGGCTCTGCACCCTCACCCAAATCTCATGTTGAATAGTGATCCTCAGTGTTGGTGGTGGGGCCTGGTGGGAGGTGATTGGATCATGGGGGGCTTGATCTTGCTGTTCTCATGATAGTGAGTTCCCACGAGATCTGGTTGTTTAAAAGTGTGTAGCACTTTCCCCTTCGCTTGCTCTCTCCTGCCACCAAGTGAAGACGTGCTTACTTCCCCTCTACCCTTCTGCCATGATTGTAAGTTTCCTGAGGCCTCCTGTACAGCCGGCAGAACTGTGAGTCAATCAAACCTCTTTTCTTTATAAATTACCCAGTCTCAGGTAGTTCTTTATAGCAACATGAGAACAGACTAATATGTTTACCGTGAAGAATTCCAAACACATACCCAAGTACAGAGCATAGTATAATGAACCCCATGTGCCCATCAACAGCCTCAAGAATTTTCAACAAATGCCCAGTCCTTTTCACTCCCCTCCCTGTGCATAACTTTTAAGCAAATCTCACATCATTTCATATCATGTGTAAATATTTTAAAATACCTCTCTCAAAGCTAGTACACCTTTATAAAAACACCACCAAATACCAATATCACACTTAAAAAGTTAACATATTTTTAATGTCAAATATGCAGTGTTCAAATTTCCAACTGTCTTATAAAAGCCTGAAATGACTTTTAAAAATATTTTATAATTTATGCCAGAAACAAAATAAAGGCACCAACCTATTATAGAATCAATGGCGTAAATGGGAAGCCAAATGACGTGTCTGACACCCAAGGACTATCTGCTGCTAGTAAACCTGTCTACAGCCTTTACTGTGTACTAGCATCGCTTTAGGAGTTCTACAAATATGAATTCATTTAACGCTACAATATAGGTGAATTACCAAGAGCATCATTTTACAGATGAAGAATGTGAGCCCCAAAGAGGTTACTTAACCGAGTCTAAGATCACCCAGCTAACATGAAGAGAAAAATAAAATGTGTTATATTCATACAATGGAATATTTTTCAGCCATAAAAAGGAATAAAGTACTGAAAGATACTACAATGTCAATGACCCTTGAAAATGTTATACTGAGTGAAAGAAGCCAGTTACCAAAGACCATATATTATATTGCTTTGTTTATATGAAATGTCTATAATAGGAAAATCTATACAGAGTCAGAAAGTAGATTAGTGGTTGTCTAGGGCTAGACAGAAGGGTAGAAGGCAGTGACTGCTAACGGGTCCAGGGTTTCTTTCTGGGGTGATGAAAATGTTCTACAGGCCTGGCGTGGTAGCTCACGCCTGTAATCCCAGCGCTTTGGGAGGCCAAGGCGGGTGGATCACGAGGTCAGGAGATCGAGACCATCCTGGCCAACATGGTGAAACCCTGTCTCTACTAAAAATACAAAAATTAGCCAGGCGTGGTGGCGTGCGCCTGTAATCCCAGCTACTCGGGGGGCTGAGGCAGGAGAATCGCTTGAACCCGAAGGGCGGAGCTTGCAGTGAGCCGAGATCGCGCCACTGCACTCCAGCCTGGGCGACAGAGACTCCATCTCGAAAAAAAACAAGAAAGAAAAAAAAAGAAAATGTTCTACAATTGGATTGTAGTGATGGTTGCACAACTCTGTGAATACACTAAAAACCACTGAACTGAGCATTTTAAATGGGTGAAGTTTATCATATGAGATTATATTTCAATAAAGCTGTTTTTAAAAGTATATTTTCAAAAGATTTAAAATTTATCAAACCAAGGAATATTTATTAATCACCTACACAAGCACTACACTTGGTTCTATGCAAGTTATAAAACAAATGTAAGACACAAACCCTGACCTCAAATTGGTTACAGTTCAAGAGAAAAGGCACACATACCATATATCACAATGCACTTTTGCTTTCTAAATTATGCCTTTTTCTCAAAGGGGTAATCAACTGTCTGAACCAAGTTTTCTGTTTCATAAAAGGCACTGAGCTAGGGCCTAATGAACATATAAGCTATGATAAGCCTGACCCTTTCCTCCTTGCCCCTGGAGGCCTTTGGAGGTTCTGATGAACCACCAAGTTATCTTGTGAGAGAGCAACCAATAGGATTCCTAGAGAGCTGAGGCTGGGCTGATTCACCTTATAACTGAAATAACGTGAGTAAATGTGTTGTGACTCAACAAAGGCCAGCGCAGCTTGACAATCCTAGGCTGAGGCCAGGGCAGTTTGACAATCCTAGGCTAAGCTAAAACCAACAGGTCTGGTCCTCCTCCCTGGGTTTAGGAATGCCCACGGTAAACAAATTGCAGAGCTTTTCCTTTGCCATGGCTGCTGAAGAGCAACAAGGATCCTTGATGAAGATCAGAGAGAACTGCACCCATGAAACTTGTGAGGTGAGAGTTTAGAGAAGTGAGATAAAGGCTAACACAGGAGATATAATCTGCAGAAAGAGACAATTTGGGGATATGAGGTTGCACAAAGTAACCATAACACTGAAGAAAACTGAAGAGGTACCTGGTGGATCGCTCACATCCAGGAAGGTTTCTTGGAGACAGCATTGATCTTAAATGAATAAATAATGAAGAAACTGCTGTTCAAATTCAAAGTGCCTGGGTACCAGGGACTTACGGATATAGGGCTTGGTTCTTCCCAGAGGATACTGGAACAATGTCTAGCTTAATGTCCAATGAACCCATGCAACTTACATGCCACATAAATTCTAAAGCCAGATGTGAACAACAGAAAGATGTTTAAATTTTATAGACATGTGAATTCAACCTAATTTTATGACAAGAATTGGATTCTCTGAAATTTTCAGATAACAGTGGCACTCAGAGTCTTACTTAAAGGTTTACTGTTTGAGACAGAACTACAAATGAAACTCTAATCAATAAAGTAGAAACTCACATTTGGAGCATTACCAATTATGCATCTTTCCTGAACTGCCTAGAAAGAACATTTCATCTGGATCAGGTGGCTTGGGCCCAGAGTGACCTGATGAATCAGCAGACTGCACTGCAAAATAACCCTATAGACAAGTTGCCTCAAATAAACCACGATCCGATTTGTAATGTAATCGATACCATTACAACGGTCTCCTTACCTTTCACCACATCCGCCACATTACAGGTGGGATCGATACTTCCTATGTGTTTAGGATGAACAGGATTAGTGTCACCCCCAAACAGAAGTGCTAGACGAACACAAAAGGAAAGGAAGGGGATTAAAACACAGCAGGCTGGGATGGTCACGCAGGGAAATACAGGGGCTTATGTTTAGAAAGGATCTCTTACTTGTAAAAATCATTTTAGCATCCACAGCAACTTAGAGCAATGGAATACACACAATTGATGGGTGAGCAACTCTTATTGGTCAATGAAGGAGGAGGATGTGCTTTAAGGTCTGTCAGCTGCAGTCAGCAGGTTCTAAAGTAGTGACATGTGCCAGGTGCCCAACCCATTCTTCCTCTCCCAATGTGACATGGATGAAGAAACTTACTTTCATCTTTAGTCAAGTATACCCACCTTCTTAGTACTACTCCAGACACTTATTCCTACTTTCATTAAATATTTAGAACACGTAGTCTATACCATTTGGACAAGCCTGTAAAATGTCTTTGCTGGCAGCATTTCAGATGCCTCCCCCAAGAAGATTATGTTTCAATGTTGTGTACACAAACAATACTTGTTCAAGTATTTTTAAAAATACACTCAGATAATTTCACAATATACAAGATTTGCAAAATTTTGTTTCTGAATAAAAGCCAAAATAAGCCCCAAAGAAAAAGCAATCTGCATCCAAATATTTATAGGTGTTATTTTTAAACGAAGCAAAAATTGTGACTAACAAAAGAAGGATGCCTAAATAAAACAGGGGAGATTTTAAACTATGAAAAATGATAAATACAGGCATTAGGCCAATTAATAAAGTTCCAACTGATTAAGGTGAAGAAAAACAGAGGTGTGTAGGCTTAACTAATGACCTAAAAACATGCACGTATATATGTGTACACGTGTATTTAGATCAGAAAGCAATTGGAGTTATCTAAGTATTTAGTTGAATAGTATTTAGGCTCTTTTATTCCTGTAAATTGTCATACATTTCCATTTTGAGGATATACATTTAATATAAAGCCACATTTAATAGTTGTGTAACATTCACTTATCCAAATAAATCAAATTAGTAAAATAAAGACACTTTGTCCACTTTGTAATGCAGCAAACAGGGTGAATTATGCTCTAGACATGTGGATGCTTTTCCTTAAGGATTATAAAATCAGTCAAAGAGACAGTGCTGAAGATAAGCCAAAAAGTTTTTTGTGTGTAGGGAATTTTAGTTGTTTTTTTCATATCTGCTTAGTACCCTAAAGAGCAGACTAAAATTCTCAGCTCGGGATTATGGGCTGACAGTCTGGCTTAATCTGACTTCACTGATCACTGTGAAATAAAGAACTGATGGCTCCTATCACCAACATTCAATTCAATATTCCCAGTGTTAATGTTTTTAAAACTAAAAAGGAAAACACATAACATCCAGGATAAAGAAAAGAATACAACCTGAGATACATAAAAGTATTCAGAGATGAAGGCCCGGCTGCCATTAAAGGCGGTCCCCCATCCCCATCAGGACTGTATCAGCAGAGACTCAAAAGGTACGCAGTGGTCCTGTCTCTAATGTGAGCCTCATAAAAGCCTTTCAAAAATTTCTTTTAACCAAGAATACAAATTAATAGCTTTTTAATGGCTAGGATTCACTTACGAAAAACTAAACTAGAAATGAAATTTCTACAACCAAAAATGCAGGTCAGTAAATTAACAACAGGAAAACATTTGGGAGAAATCACTATGGTTACCTTTTCAAAACTGGACCAACAAACCCCAACTTACTGTGCTGATTAATAAGCATGCGGAACGAGATGCGGTTGGTATAAAACCGATCCAGAAAATACTGGATGTTAGTGCTAATGAAAGGATCAAACCCAAACTTCTCCTTGTATTCAATCACTCCTTGCGCCATTGTAGGAACCACATCATTGTGTCTATTTCTGACTTTAATCAGAACTTGTAGAAAGCTGTGTGAGAGGGAAACAAAACGTGGTCAGTCTTAATATCTCATGGGCTGATGCAGACTTCCCAGCTCTGTCCCCAGACTAGTTGTCTGCTGGTATTTTTATAAGTAAAGACATTATTCTTACTACATACAACAAGGAACCACTCACAAGAAACTAAAAGTATGAGCCAAGTTTTTGCTTGCAACCTTATTTCTACAGAAACCCTTCTTTCAGAGGTGCAAAAAGTAAAAGGTTCTAGTACAGAAAAAAAATGCTCAAATACCCTTTTAGGAATCCACTGACTTTTTGGATAAGTGATTACATATAAATACAGGTTCTATAAAAGTTGAATAAAGAATTGCAGAACATATCAGTATTTCTTCTGAGAACATGAGGACAATCCCCCAAAATCTCCAAGGATTGATTAATGGAATCTCAAAGCAATAGCTTCCATGAATAAAGAAATAACGTCACACTGTTTTTTGGGTTTTGTTTGTTTGTTTGACGGAGTCTCACTCTGTCGCCCAGGCTGGAGTACAGTGGTGCGATCTCGGTTCACTGCAACCTCCGCCTCCCGGGTTCAAGCAATTCTTCTACCTCAGCCTCCCGAGTAGCTGAGACTACAGGTGGACGCCACCATGCCTGGCTAATTTTCATATTTTTAGTAGAGACGGGATTTCACCATATTGGCCAGACTGGTCTTGAACTCCTGACCTCGTGATCCGCCCGCCTTGGCCTCCCGAAGTGTCTCATACACACAATTTAAGAGTAAAATTTGGAAATAAATATCTTGCAGCAGTAAAATATAGTGATGAAATGCAGATAGAACACAGGCAGTTCAACTATTCAAGTATCTGGCATATTACTGTAAATATGCATAGAGGAAAATACATTAAGAATGGTAGAAGACAAGTCAGTCAATGGAACTAAACAAAAAGTTTAGAACTAGGCCCATGAGTGAGTATGTATATGTAAAAATTGAGCATATTGAGAAAGTGACATTGCAAATCAGTAGGCAAACAATCAAACTAATAATCAAGTTAACTGGAACAGTGGGCTAACAATTTAAGTCACGTACTAATTTCAAGACTTAAACCAAATACTGGATTAAAAATGTAAAAGGGTGAAATCACAGAAATGATAACAGAAAAATCAGGTGAATAAGTATATAATCTTGGGATAAGGAGGGCTGTTCTAAGCTTAATACCAAAGGTAGAAACAAATAATATGAAGAAACAAATGATATGACTATGTAGAATTTTAGCAATCCTATAGGGACACACATTAATAAATTAAGTGAAAAAAAAAAAAACCTTAAGAAAAGGAAAAAAACTAGCACCCCATCAGAAAACTAGGCAAAGGATCTGCTATCAATGCAAAATTTACCAAAGAAGAAGCACAAATGCCAATTAACTTCACCCTTACAAATAAGAAAAGCAAATTAAAACAATGTGATACTTATTATTCTCCATGTATCAGCATCAGTTAAGAGTTTGGGGCTTAACTGAGGCACTTCTCAGGACAATTAACAACATACAGCAAAAGCCCAAAGAAAATAATTCCACTTCCAGGAATTGATCCTAGGAAAATAACTGGACAAGGTGAACAGCTGTTTGTGTGTTTATTTATTTATGAGACAGAGTCTTGTTCTGTTGCCCAGGCTAGAGTGCAGTCGCACAATCTTGGCTCACTGCAACTTCTGCCTCTCGGGTTCCAGCAATTCTCCTGCAGCCTCCCAAGTACCTGGGATTACAGGTGCCCGCCATCATGCCTGGCTAATTTTCATATTTTTAGTAGAGACAGGGTTTCACCATGTTGCCCAGGCTGGTCTCAAACTCCTGACCTCAGGTGATCTGACCGCCTTGGCCTCCTAAAGTGCTGGGATTACAGGCGTGAGCCACCGTGCCCGGCCAACAGATGTATTTAAAAGTTGTTCTTTAAAGCACTGTTTATAGTAGCATGAAAACTACAAACCAGTCTAAAATCCAGTGACAGACGATCAAATCACATGAACTATCTGAAGATGGACTATTAACATGAATATTATGACACTATTAATAATGGCATAGATCTACAATGTTGACACTTGTTATGTTTGTAAAAATATTTTACACATATAAATATATGCACGCCTAGGGAAAAGCATGGAAGAAAGGAAAATAGTAATAGTTGTTGTCCCCTGGTAGTAGAAATTGGGGCGGCTTTTTTTTTTTTTTACTTATCTGAATAGTCTTATTTTTCTGAATGATGAAATATTTCTGTAACAAATACATACATACAATGACAATAAAGATGTAAAACTCTGAAATTAGGCCATCATTATTCACAAAAAAATTTATAATGGACAATTTGTCCTTTATGTAATACTCATTGCAATGTATTTGTAAGTTAAATATTACTAAAGTGAAACGATTCATTATAGTAGAGAAGTGCCTCAACTTATCTGAAGTGGGGAGACTGACCTCAATGGCTCAATGCTCAGAATTCTCCTCTAATCTTCCGGGCTCTTCTAAACTCTATCATAAATGATCAACATGCTTGTCTTCTAAGCTACTTTTGCTTTACTAAAATGATTTCCCTGCTGCTGATCCCATACAACCTCTTGGTAAACAGAAAAGGCTGCTACCATGGTACTCGCTCACCTTTCACTCCTTCCTTCACCAAGAACATCATACTTCTCGAATGCCAACTATCGTAACTAGCCACATGAACCTAGGCAAGTTACAAAACTCACGGAGTGAGAGCTCAGCTATTATTGCGATGGTCAAGCACACACTGGATTAAGCCCTGACAGTTTGCAAAGCAGGCTCATGGCCATAAATCGCATCTGAAAACCTGTTCCAGAAACTGAGACGGGACTCCAGGAAAAACATAGCAGAAATTTAATATCATGTATAGTCGTCTCTCAGTATCCGTAGGGGACTGGTTCCAGGATCCCCGAAGATACCCAGATCCTCAGATGCTCAAGTCCCTTGTCTAAAACAGTGTATACAGCCTACTCACATTCTCTCTGATACTTTAAATCATTTCTAGACTAGTTATAATACCTGATACAATCTAAATGCGATTTAAACAGTTGTTAAACTGTATTTTAAAAATCTGTATTATTTCTTATTGTTGCATTGTTATTTTTTATTGCTTTTTTTTTTTCCTGAATATCTTTTTTTTTTTTTTTTTTTTTTTTTTGGGTCGGAGTCTCGCTCTGTCGCCCAGACTGGAGTGCAGTGGCGCAATCTCGGCTCACTGCAAGCTCCGCCTCCCGGGTTCACGCCATTCTCCTGCCTCAGCCTCCCGAGTAGCTAGGACTACAGGCGCCCGCCACTGCGCCCGGCTAATTTTTTTCTATTTTTAGTAGAGACGGGGTTTCACCATGGTCTCGATCTCTTGACCTTGTGATCCGCCCGCCTCGGCCTCCCAAAGTGCTGGGATTACAAGCGTGAGCCACCGCGCCCGGCCTTTTCCTGAATATCTTTTCGATCTGCGGCTGGTTGAATCCAAGGATGTGGAACCTGCCAATACAAAGGACCAACTATACTTCTACAAATCTGTTCTAAAATCTGAAGCTAGAGTGGTCAGCCCTAGGTTTTCCGATTTCCACCAAATGATTACCAGCTAACGACTTTTGAGAAAACAAAGCTCCTGGATTGAATTCATTTAATACTGATCGCTTAAATGACAGCAGTGGCTTATATCAAGGAAAACGCTACATCTGGGGCTCTAACCCAATGCTTCCCCGCCTTCCACATTTCACAGATCCATTAGACAAAACACCCAACAAAGTATAAAATAGGTGAGGGCTTTTGTTTTTCCTTTGAATTTTAGTTTACAACTAGACTAGAACTAGCTACTCATGGCTCAAACGAAAACATAACTTATAGGTCCAGCTTTGCTATGAATGGTCACAATCTTGGGCAAGTCACTTCACATCTCTGACTTCAGTTTCCTTATCTGTGGATTGAGAGGACTGGGTTAAATACCTCCTAAGGTTGCTTGTATAACATGGTATTTTCCTAGTTCTTCTTATGGAACATCTATTAAGTCAGGTGTTCAGTCTCACAACTATGTGGACTAGTTTATACTTATTTAGAAATTCCTCAGTACAACAGGCCTACCATATGCATCCACTCACATATACATGAAACAGGAAGAAATTAATGTGAAAGGGATATTTAATTTCTCTTGGAGGGGAAAACATACTTACAGCTAGAGTTAGTGTTCCTGGGATAAATAAAAATGAGAAACAGAAATATCTCATCGGCATAATTTGCCAGTCTGTGCATAATGGGAGCAATACAATAGAATTCAGGTTGCTATATAAAAAACGTACTCTTTTATGCCTCTCCAAAACAAAACCACTACAGTTTTTGAGCTCAAATGTAATATCCTGTTGAAAATTTTTTTTTTTAATTGTAAAGGATTGAGTAGATAAATTCATGTATATACAAAGGCCACTGCATTCTTAAAACTACCACTAGATGGAACATTTACTGCAGTATTCATAGTGAGTGCCCAGTTCACCTTGGGTAAAGGTATTAAGAATTAGATCAGAAAAGCAAAACTGAAAGTGTCATTATTACTTTTGTATTGTGTTACATTCTTAACTCGAATTAAAAAAAAACTCAATGTTGAGTCATTACTCATTAAGAAAATGAATGCTTTTGTCCACATCATACTCCTTGAGTCTTAATGACTTGAATTACATTTACCAAAATCTTTCTTATCTAGATATTTTTACTTTCAGGTAAGTGGTACCATACTTACTTATCCAAGACCTGTGGATCCTCAGGGCTCTTATTTTCATATTCTAAAAGTTCAAGAAAACTCTGCATATACCTAAAATGAAAAAAAAAAAAAGAAAAAGAAGAGTTACTGTGTTAGTTGCCTGCCCAGCATCCACCCCTCCTCTCCCTCTTCCTAAGAACACTCCAAATTTTCACTCAGGTCTCCATCCCATCCCCATCCCCCATGTGGCTCAAGTGTATCAGGGAAGCCGGTGCCTCCAAAGATCCTGCGTGGTCCCATTTTTCTCTGGGCAATCCTATTTCTCTTGCCACTAATTATTCATTAGCCCAATAGTGTAGGTCTAAGTCTATCACTGTGTGCATTCTCCTGAACACAGGGAATGGCTCAGGAAGGGACATACTGTCTCAATTCAGGCTAGTAAAATGACAGAAAAGACTCGCTGGAGGACTCTGGCAGAGAAACCAACCTGCTCTGCTTTTGTACAGTGTGCTGTGTGGATTGGAAGCCTGGAACTGCTGCAGCTATTCTGCCACCAGGAGGGAATCCAGTCTGAAAACGAAGCCAACGCCATCGAAAGCAGGGCCTCGACAGCTTCGTGAATCTCTGAATCAAACCAACACCAAAAGCTTACCCTACGGCTGGACCTTCTAGTGACATGAGCCAGGTTCAGTTTCATTTTGTCTACTTACAGACAGACACATCCTAACTTATATATCAAGTCTATAGTTTGATTACCAAAAATGTACATACATATTTTAAGAAGCACATGTGTGATGCTGAAGTGCCTGCCAAGAACTTAGAAACTAGACGTGAAGAAGTTAAATTAATTTCATCAATACTTAATGGGGGAGGAAGAATGCCAATTAAACTCTCAGAAACAGCTTCTGGATTAAGAATAGCTCCATATCTCAATCAGGGCCAGTATAAGAAACAGTCTGTCCAACATTAAGATCTGGAGAACATAGAAAAATGACATCCAGAGAGGCCCATTAGTGCAGTAGCTATATCAAGCCAGGATCTGTTGGATCTGGTGGAGATTCAGATATTCCAATTAGAGATATGTGATCTCTATTTGGGGTTTTAACATGTTCTGAAAGAATTATCCCTTTATTCTAATTATGTCTAACCATTAACTGTCACTAATCCTATTATCTACACCTTTGGATAGAGGATGAGGACACTCCAATAAGTAAAAATGACTGTTACACATATAAATACTCCAATGAGAATGCCACTTGATTCATCAGCCTCATGTGAACTCTGGACAATGCATTTGATACTAATGAATGTTCATCACTGGACATATTTTTTAAAAGTCTCTGGAAACCAGGCGTGTTAGCTCACGCCTGTAATCCCAGCACTTTGGGAGGCTGAGGCGGATGGATCACTTGAGGCCAGGAGTTCAAGACCAGCCTGGCCAACATGGCGAAACCCCATCTCTACTAAAAATACAAAAAATTAGCTGGGCATGGTGGCACATGCCTGTAATCCCAGCTACTCCGGAGGCTGAGGCAGGAGAATCGCTTGAACCCAGGAGGCAGAGGTTGCGGTGAGCCAAGGTTGTGCCACTGCACTCCGGTCTGGGAAACTGAGCAAGACTCCATCTCAAAAAAAGAAAAATAAATAAATAAATAAAAGTCTCTGGGCACATAAGGCTATGGATTAGATATTGTTAAAATCACTGGGTCAAAACACCAAGAGGTCAAAGCCAGCCAGCCCCAGTGATGCCCTCTGCCCTGCCACACGCAAGCAAGCTAGGTAGGCATCCTGTCCTTTCCAGAGGGGACAGTTGAAGAAAGTCTTAAATAGAAGGGAGCCAAAGATTATTCTGAGGTTCCCAGTCTGACAGTCAAGAGAGCAAGGAGGACATACTGTGACCAAGGGGACAGTGGTGGGGTTCACAGCCCATTATGCATAATATTCATTTTTAAAAGGAAAAAATGGCAGGGAAACACAATGCATGATCCTGAAGTGGATTCCTAAATCAGGAGGAGAAATTGCAAAAAAAAAAAAAAAAAAAAAAAGATGTGGGTAGTATCACAACAATTAGTAAAGCGAGAACAAGTTCTACATATTAGAAGACATTACTGTATCAATGTTAAATTTCCCGAATTTGATGACCACATTGTAGTTTTCTAAGACCTGTTCCAATGAAATACATGCTAAAGTATTCACGGCAGAGGGGCATGATGTAGACATCGTGTATGTGTACCATATATGGGTCTGTGTGTCATATATAGACATAGATATATATATGTGTGTGCACACGTGTGTGTGTGTGTGTATGCAGAGAGTGAGACAGAAAGAAAGAATATGAATGACAATGGTAGAACGTGGTCAAATGTTAACAATGTTCACAATTAGTGAATCTACGTGACAGTATACGGGAATTCTTTCTACCAGTTTTGCAACCCTTCTGTTAAGTAGGAAAGTATTTCAAAATAGAATGTTTAAGAAACAAGAAAGAAGAAATGGCATGCATTTGTTTGGAATGGATGTGGAAAAGGAAGAGTTAAAAGACAAAAACCAAACAACGGAGTTGACATAGCAATTTGTTCGAGCCTATACTTTGCCGGTATCATATAATACATTTAAGTACATTTGGTCTTTGTCCCTGCTTCCTGGCACAGAGCTCCCAAAACCCTTGGAACTTTCTGAGTGACAGGAGTGTCTTCTGCTATCCATAAAGAGCCCCCTTTGACCACACCTGAGTTCATGCTAATGTGGTGACTTAGGATGGGATCTCTAGATAGCCTCAGGATGGGGCTGGTCACCAGAAAGGCCAAGCGATTCGAGGACTAACTTTCAGCTCTATTCTCAACTTCTGGGGAGGGGAGAGGGCTGGAGATTGAGCTCTATCAAAACCCTTGAACGACCATCAGAGTTTCCAGGTTGGTGAACATATGGGGGTACTGGGAGGGTGGTGTGCCCAGAGCGGGCATGGAAGCTCCATGCGGCCTCCCATACCTTGCCCTATGCATCTCTCCCATGTGGCTGTTCCCGAATTGTACCCTTTCTAATAAACCTATAAACATAGGTAAAGTATTTTCCTGAGTTCTGTGAGCCGTTCCAGCAAATTATCAAATCTGAGAGAAGGGGTGTGGAAACTCAATGTCCAGCCACTCAGTCAGAGGCACAGGTGGCCCAGGACTTGTGACTGGTGTCTGCAGTAGGGGAGATTCTTGTGGGGCTGAGCTGTATGTAAAAAGCCTGTGGATGTGCCCGACTCCAAGTAGGAGTGTCAGGATGAACATGACATTGCTTGAACCCAGTTTGCCTGATTCCCAGGGAGACTCGGAAGTTGGTTGTTGATGTTTGGAAAAGCAACCACGAAAAAGAGCCCAGCCAAATTCACTTTGGAAGGCCCCTGAACGCCAGCCTGTAACATAAGCAATAAGTAAAATGTTAAACTGGTCACCACCACCAGGATAAGGGGACTTGATCCCTGCCTACCTAGAATCCCCCACCCACAGTGGCCTCTAATTGGGAGTTTTATACCTTCTACTTGGAAAATCTTTCTAATGAAATGGCCTTGAAAAAGCCAATAAAGAAGTTCTCGTGCAACCCAAAAACCTTGCTTCCTCTTTCTGAAACAAAGCCTATGGAACCAAGAGCAGGATGCAAGGAACTATATGGAATCAAAGGCCACAGATCACAGTCCCCTCTTTCATTTCCTCCCCTGCATTCCAAAGACCGCTGCAACATCACACAGTGAGAAGCTGCAGCTTGGTCCTGGAAACAGAAGAATTTGACACTGTTACTCCTGAAGAACCAATCTTAAATATAGTGTGTCTCAGACAATTTCACTTTAACCCTAATGAATTTAATTATAATTAATTACTATGGAGGAATGAACTATTGAATGTCCCATCCTCTTTTTCAAGTAGCCCTCGGCCTTCCACTAACCCTCTAGATGCCGAAGCAATTAGTGTTCAACTCTCCTTTTACAATCTGTCCCACTGGCACAATTTCCCATTCTAAAATGCTCTTCCGTGTCACCTGCAGGCAAATCTGTCAGTTCACCTCACCCACCAAAGGGCATGCGGAACCACCAGCTTGCATTTCTGGTTCCGCTTCTCTCTGCT